GTTAGGAACCATGCCTTTAGTCTCCTACAGCATGACTTCAGTACACAAAAGGGTGAAGTGTTGGAGAAGGGAGGAGAAGTGAACAATCTAGCCCAAAATAGCTGATATGGAAAAATTCTCCAATTCAGCTCCCTTTCTGGTTCCGCTATGTTGTCCTAGATTGTTCACTTGTCCTCCCTTCTCCAAACTCTTCACCCTTTTGTGAATAGCCTAGTTAATGTTTCTGCATTTTCCAACGATTCTACTTTTTAACTTTTTTCCATTTGTTGCAGATGATGTTGACAAGCCATATGCATTTCAAGGCTGTGTAACCATTGGTTCATGTTTTGTCGACCTTCAACGTTTGCCAGGAAGTCAGGTTGATAAGAAGGCCGAGTACACATGCAAAACTACACTAATTTAGTTTTCTGCTTTACTTTGACCCTGCCCAGCATGCTGGAAGTCACCTCCTCTTCTTTCCTTCTTGCTTTCTCTTTGCTGCAGGTTGCACCTGCTCACCACAATGGAGCGTTGCCGAGAAGGTGGTGGTAGGGCTTGTGCTGCCATGTCTTCAACTAGGTAGTCCCAGTCCCCATTTTGTCCCAATGCAGCTGTAAGTGGGGGTAGCCCTTCCGTGGGTGTCCAGTGCCAGGTGCACAGGGCAACTTCTTACAAGACGACATATTGAGCAGCTTGTACCCAATGCAAGTGGGGTGGCAGAACAATAACCAGCATTCTGGTCATTTACAGTATGTACAGTACTCAATACTAATCTTCCTTAAAGCAAACCTTCAGTGTGTAAAACTTTGTGACTTGACATTGGAAAGTGAAAGCAGGCACCAACAGTGTTCCTGCATGTAGTACAAGCTTTCACCTAGATACTCTAGGAGCCCCTACACTCAGAGCACACTAGAGGTTCCTACAATTGCGTCTTATTAGTAGGTTACAAAGTTTTATTCCACTACTGGTACACTTTAAGGTCTTCAATGACTTGATCCTTCTTCTTTGCTATAGGCTTGGAACTGATTAAGAAATGCTTCTACTTGTAACCGCCAAGATTATGTACCCGGACTCTGTCCTGAGCTGTAAGCTTCAGTAAAACAATGCTTTATTCTGCAGCAAAATTGTCTCTGGTGTCTCATTCCATTATAGACAAGGCAACTGCACTGTGACCATACATAGCTTAACCACTTGAGGCCTTTCTCTCCCACAATCCACTTAAGCCCCAGAGGATCTTTTTCTTTTCTTTTTGTACATTCACATTTTGTTTTTGCACATATATTATAGGGAAACAAAACCTCAAAAACAAAATGGGGCTTTTTAGGTGCCATTAATTGGACACACTCTTGTTTACGTTCAATAAAATGAATATTCATACATACCTGCATGTTAAAAGATATTCTCTCCCTAAATCCACTAAAGCCCCAGAGGATCTTTTTCTTTTGTTTCTGTACTGTAAGAAAGGACACTCGACTGTAGTCAAGAAATGCAAGTAAAATGCAGTTTATTAAGGGCAAACACAAAAAGTCTCTTTCCATCAACAATGGTCAACATTTCATGCACTTTTCTTAGAATCATCTTTCTTGAGCATATACAGTCCTTAGTATTGTTCAGTAGCTTTCCTAAGCTCCAAGCCTCTCAGCACTTCTCTGTGTGATACACACTCTGCTCTCCCAGTAGCGTGTCCAACAGGTCCCTTGGGTCACCGACCTTCCTGACCTCTCCCAGCCTCCCCCGGCTGTTCCACGTGCGTCCAGCACGAACCTGAGTCTGCTTGTGTCCGTGTGCCTCCTGCACGCACACAACTCCAACACAACTCCCTTGAGCTCTGGTCCAGACTCCTAATAAGGCTGCTCTCAGCCACCTGATCCAGCGATACTGGTTATTGGCAACACCTGGCCCCATGAATAGAGATTCCATCCCACTATAGTCCAAAAAAACCTGGAAGGAAGTCAGTTTCTTCCCTGGAAAAGTTTTAACATCCTGGAACCTCTTAGCCCCTCTGAGTGTTTCTGGGGACAATGTTACCAAATTACATTGTGGCATTGCCACAGCCTTCTACAGTCCATTCACATTTTGTTTTTGCACATATATTTAATAGGGAAACAAAACCTCAAAAACAAAATGGGGCTTTTTAGGTGCCATTAATTGGACAAATTCATGTTCATATAAAATATAATTAATATTTTTATTCATACAAAGTTAAAATATATTCTTCATAAAAACACAGTTATGCGTCCACATTGTCAATTCGCAGTACACATATAAAGTCCTTACTGCCATAGATGCTCACAATTCAATGAGTTGGCAAGATCCTTTTGCATACAGTAGTTCATACATAACAACAGGCTTTTCACGACTATGCTTCTTCAGGACCCTTAAAATGGATTAGACAGCCTATGGACAACCATCAACATATGTTGCATCCAGGGAGGGGGGGGGGGGGCGGGGGGGTGCGGCAACTTT